CTGGTTTGGGCCCATTGTTCATACTGGCACACTTTGAAATATTGAAATCTGCATCTAAGTCTTCCTGATAACGAAAACCAACAGGTAGAAACAGCTGGATTTATGTCCAGACCATTCTCTTTGCACACCCACACACTGCGATAGTTCAGCACTAATTGGACTGACTGGGAATTTCCACTTGCTCTTGAGCATGCTTTCTCTTCTCATTAGGGATATATCATCCGTTTGAGTTAAATCAGCTGTTAGCAGAACAAAACATTCAGTTTAATGGAAATCAGTGGTATAAAATCCCGGATTTTGCAGAAAGTGCATTAAGAGGCAAAGCTGGAATGAATTCAATTTCAACTATACCAGATAGAAACCTATTCAGCTACAAGGCATATGCTAGAGCTATGGAGGAAAAGGTGCTAATGCAACATGATTTATAGTTGTGGTCCAAAATAAGAATAGATCAGTGATATAAGCAGGAAGACACTAATTTGCTGGCTGTGTATGAAGGCACGTAACAGTATGGCTGCTAAAAAATATGCCTTCTTCTTTACTCATGTAAGTGCTTGGACCTTTCACAGCTGAAGCACTGCAGTCAGAATGAGCAAACTGTTAAAACCAGTATGTGAGATTTCCATTTCCAGTACTGGCAGGCTCAGATGGGTGGTGCTGAGATGCAGGCTGCCGATGAAGCAGCAGGGACATAGCTGCTTATACAGCACGGGCTGCACGGGTCCGGCTGCAGTGGGCAGGCAGTTTCCTTGGCAGGTCCAAAGTGCCACTAAAGCAGGTGAGGAGCGAAGGTCCTGGCCATTCGCACGCCTCTGCCCTCCATCAGCAGCGCCCAGCTGACCCCAAGTTGTATCAAGAGGGGAAATGTAGTGTAGGCAGAGATAACAGATGAGGTTTGCAAGGCTAGGCAAAGGATGAAGTATTGAGCGGTCACAGTAATTGGGGTATAAAAAAGGAAAAGGGATGCCTGGATGAAGTGAGGTATGTGAGGCAGGGCTAAAAAGGAGGCAAGAATGCCAGTGATTTAGAAAATGTGCATAAAAAGGGGAAACACTCATTTCTACTCTTGTGAAGAAAGGTGAGTGTGGTTCTGGAAAGATGCTGCTGTTTCCAGTATGTAGTAGCACCCGATCTTCTGATGGTGGAGGTTCTTCCCCAGAAGCTGGGAGACGATGCACGAGTGTGATGTTACACCCTCGAGGGGTACCATCAGAAACTGCTGGGGCAGGGAGGCAGCTTCGTGCTTGTAATCAATGTGAGCAACACTGTCACAACAGTGTCTGCTTCGGGTGCCCGCCCTTCAAACAAGCCACTGAAAAATGAGATGACACTCAGAAAAAGTTACAGGGATGAATCAGGTATCTTGGAAAATCCTGCCCTGGCACAGCATACTAAATAAATTGAATTTTCTCAGACCAGATTATAAATCTGAGCTTGGAGTCTTTAGTAACGGATCAACAGTACTGCAGCTGAAGAATGTGAAGCATGGGTTTGGTACAGATTCAACTTCTGCCTTCGGATATTTATACATTTGTATTCAACCTTGAATATGCATATTGGTCCCACAAGAACATTACGCCAGATGAGGTGTCACCTCTCTACGCAGCCACGGCTTCATGCCAGATCAGGTGTTGTCTCTCCTGTCCCCACCAATGTCATGTCGGCGTTGAGCCCGAGGTCTGTGTGAACACTGCCACGGGTGCCTGGGCAAGCCCAGCACACGCAGCCACGTCCTCCTGCCTACTCCTGCTAACGCTTGTGCTGGTGATCTCGTACTTCTCCAAGGCCCATTATTAATGAACCGCAGCCCTGTTCATAGCTGGGCTCACAAGCCCTATTCCAGGGAAGGCTGAGAAGTCCCCATGGCCGGACCCTGCGCCTGGCGTTGCTGCCTGCACCTCAGCCTGTCTCAGGCACGAGCACAAATCCTAAGAAATGCCTCCTTCTCCGGGCAGCTGCGGGCTCCCGGAATTACTGCTCTGACCTTTTGTCTCCACGGTTTGGTTTTACAGCGCTGCTTAGGTAACAGAGGAGAACAGGCTGTAGTTCATAGTGCATATTTACTGATGCTATCTAACGCTGCTTCGGTATGACTCAAAATTTGCTCAAGACAGGGAATTCAAGGAAGCTGCCAAGAGAAGCTACGTGTTAGCAATGGGACTGAGAAAATCACTAATGAAGTAAGAATTATAAAGGGAAAGATAAACGAAAAGGCTATTAGCAAAGTACGCTAATAGCATCGCTTTGTATTTTTTAATTATTTTTTTTTTACACAATAATCCAAGTCCTTTATTAAAATGAACTCTGGTTTTGGCCATGCAGTTGGTTCTCCGAGGAGCAAGATGGCTTTTTCATAAACCAGCATGGTGGGCTTGATATTATGATACTGTATTTACCGTACGTCTGGTTTGTGGGTTGGGTGTTTTCTCTTGTGGGAACGCCGAGGCTAAGGATTAATTTTTGCTAGCACTTTAAAATCCTAGAGGGCACCACTGAACAGCTTTGTAAACCAGGCTTGCTTTACAACACAGATTTTACAAGTGTTGCTGTTCTTGTCTCATTTTTCGCTTTCCTTTCTCTTCACATTAAATTTGTATTAAAATTAAAAAGACTCTTCCAAGTAGTAAATATGCAGTTAGTGGATGAGTACAAAAAGAAAAAAAACCTAACACGCACGAAGAAAAGGTCTTATATTTACAAAATTTAAGCTGTTGCTTCAAAGTTGTAGTCTGTGTAACTTGCCCCAAAAGAGATGCCAGGCTGGCAACTCCATCTGCATCCACTTGCATATTCCTACAGGAGCACAATATGCAGCTGATTTCCCAATTAGGCTTTCCCAACAAAGTAGTTTTGTAATTTAGACAAGACTCAAAAGTTTGAAAAATGAATACATATTCATGAAGTACTAATAATCCTCCATCTAGAACGCAGCCTTTAGCTGAGAGCAGATATGACTAGCTCATGTACCACTCACCACACATCCTAACTAAAATGTGAACAAGGAAGAAATGGCTGAAACCAGCAGATTGTGTTTTGCTAAGACAATAAATAATAATCGTATTCTGACTCAAGTGCCAAATGTATAGCGCTTAATTAGAGGTCAGTAGAGCATATTTCTGCTCAGCTGTTCCATTTACAGCAATTAACACGTTCACGTAGCTTAAACTGGGTTGCAGAGCAGATTTCAAAGGGCTGAGTGAAAGCAAAATCAGGGAAGTGTCGTTCAGCCGCCCACAGCGGCCCAGGAGGAGCACACCCGGCACCGCGCCGCCTGCGCCCCGCCACGCCCTGGGGCTGGCAGGAGGGGGCTTAGCCCAGGCGCGGCGTCCCCCTCCTCCATCGCTGCGGG